GCTTTTTTTGGAGATATGAGTGAAACATTGTGGACATTTTTCATACAGTGACTGTCATACTGTGGGGGTGGGGTGGGGGGTGGGGGTGCACATTATATAGCTGGACAGTGAATGAAAAGGGTTTAAAACACGGATCAAAGCACTTCATGTTCATTTATCAAACCAAATACACCCCCAGCAAAGTTTAGAGTCCACCATCCAGTCAGCCCCCCCCCCCTCAAAGTCAAGTGCATCAGTTTAGGAAAAGATTATCAAGGGTCAGTTGGCCTATATTGCTCCAAACAACATGAAGGCCTTTGGGTGTTTGCTATACTGGTAGAAGGCCATTCTGGACCAGATTCCCCCTAAAAAGGTAAAGGGAGGATCATGGTCACGCGCGCGCGCGCACAAACACACACACACACACACACACACACAGCAGCCAATCAGGCGTTCCTCCTGGAGTTACTGGTGGCGGACGCGCGCCCCGTCTCGTGGTCAGGTCTGTATTTGAGCCAGCAGATGAGCCACGTGACCACCACCGAGAACATGGCCAGGATGCTGGCCACCGACAGGCAGATGGGTCCGGCCGGGGAGGGGGGGATGCTGTGGCTGTGCACGAAGATGAGGCCCATGAACAGCAGCACCAGCATGGACAGGAAGGAGAAGATGACGCACACGCAGCCGGTGGTCAGCGCCACGCGCTTGCAGCTCTGACAGCTGTCGTAGCGCACCGAGTCCTGGGAGAGGGTCGTGGCCGTGGACACCGTGGTGGAGGGGGACGCCTGGCCGGCGCCGGACGCCTCCTCCCGGCGGAGCGCCACCAGAGCTGGGTGCAGCGGCGGAGGGTAGGGCGGCAGCGCGTCCTGCGGCAGCGGGTCCGAGTCGATGTAGAGCGGGAAATCCTCCGTCACCTTGGTGTTGTTGGGCAGGTTCTGGATCCGGTAGTCCGGGACGGGCGTCCGGTGGCGGCACACCGGGCAGCTGACGCGCCACGGCCGCTCCTCCCGGAGGTGCAGCGTGTTCAGGCACTCCTCGCAGAAGGTGTGCAAACACTCCAGGATCTTGGGCGCGCGCCGGTCAAGGTCGAAGTAGTTGTAGCAGATTTTGCATTCGTACTCCTCGTAGGTGGAGGCCGGGGAGGCGCGCGCCGCTCCGGCCAGCTCTACCTCTGCCATGTCATCTCTCGCCATTCACGCTCTACGGCGCAAACAAAGGGAGCTGGAGGACAGATGCCGATGACGCCTCTCCTGCTCTCCCCCCTCCCCCACAGCTGCTTACATCGAAGCGCCGTTTTAATAACCGCTCGGTCCAAACGGGCCGTGGTTCCGGTTAGAGGCGGTGGTTAGGCGGCTCTCTACCGGGGAAAGGATGATGTAATGGCGGTGATTCCTCAGAGCGCATCATCCGCGGGGCCCCAGCAGCAGCAGCAGCATCCTCTCCTCCTCTGGTGACGTAGACTCTGCGCTCGTGCGGACCACCGGGGGCGCCGCTCATTGTTTCCCGGAACAAAGACTCACAGTGGCGGCTCCAGACCGAATGTACCAGGGGGCCAGGAGGGGGCCAGCGTGTTTTCATGGGGAAACAGAAAAGCATGAAATAAAAAACAGAGCAAAGGATTCAAATATATTAATATACCTGCATGAAGTGAAATTTCTATTCAATTAAATGTAATTAAAATTCTACGTCTTATTAGGTCAACACACATCCTGAATTTAGGAATTTTACATATTTTTGATTCAATTTAAGTTAAAATAACTTTTCTATAAAATCTGAATATAAATTCTGCTCTAAAAATTAGAGTATTTTCTTCAAAAGTTTTGAAAAAAACTCCATAAAACTGAAACTATCGCATTATTGTTTTTAAATAATTACTAAAACTGAATTTGTAAAGAAAAAACATTAAATAGATCCAAAGAACCAATCAGTAACCATGTCTGTTTCAGGGCAGATCATCATTAGAATTTATTTGAGTATTAAGGCTGCGTTCACACTGCAGGCCTTGATGCTCAAATCTGATTTTTTTTTTGTGAAATCCGATTTTTTTTGCGTTGCCGTTCATATTTCCAAATAAATGCGACTTGTATGTGATCTCCTGTGGGAACTGCAGTCAGACAACGCAAATGTCCCACATGCTCAGTAGAGGACGTAATGACGTCACAGGCCAGCGTGCTCTGCGTTTACGGAAGTAAACATGGATGCTAGCGCCGGCGCGCATCTAGCGATTTTTTCCAACGATAAAATCTGAAACTTTTCAATATGGTTAAACATAAATACTGCTCTCTGTATCATTGTCCGCCATGGTGGTTGTTTTTCTTGCAGCTTCTGCGTAGCAAGATGCATAATAGTGACCTTTGTTGGGTATTAATGACGTTCAGGTCAGATGAATGCGATGGACCGTTCACACACAAGTCGCATTTGAAAAGATCAGATTCGTATCGGAATCAGGACCACATAGCCAAGTGGCCTGGGTCTGATTGGAAAAAAATCGGATCTGTGTCGTTCAGACTGTTATGAAAAGATCAGATCCAGGTCGCATATGGG